TCAAAAAAAACAAAAAGACTTAATTTAAATGATGAATGCTAAAACTTAGTTATATAATAAAATGCCTAAAAATTGCTTTCACTTGTTTTCAAATAAAATAATTTTATGTTTAGCCAGTTTCAACTTTTTTATTTTTGAGGTACTCTGTTATATGTGCTCTCTCAAAACTAACTCAAAGTTTCAGTTTTTACTTTGTAAATTTTAGCCGCGTTTGCTCCCCTTAATTTTTGTTTCACCCTTCCTCCCCCCCCCCATCCTATATAACTAAGGTCACATATATAGATATATATATATATATATATATATATATATATATATATATATATATATATATATATATATATATATATATATATATATATATATATATATATATATATATATATATATATATATATATATATATATATATATATATATATATATATATATATATATATATATATATATATATATACACACCAGATATATATATATAAAAGCTATTGAAGCATCATTTAACTACATTTTTTACTCACTTTACATCACTTTACTCACTTTACATCACTTAACTACATTTTAATTTAATTTGTTTAACTGAAACCTGGTGTTTACATGCAGATTTTTAAAATATCTCAAATCTCCATCTCCCAGGTTTTGATCCAGTAATTTTAGAACGAAGTACAAATAAGCGAGGAGGAGGAGTTTTATTTTTTGTTAAAAATGACCTTCTATATAAAGTTCGAAGCGACATGTGTGTTTCTGATGAAAACAAAGAGATTTTAACAATAGAACTTATCAATAAGCGTTCAAAAAATATACTAATAAGCTGTTGTTACAGGCCACCAACTGGAAGAATTAAAAACTTTGGCAATTTTTTACTAAATAGCATAATAAAGAAAACTGATCTTGAAAAGAAAAAAATTACTTGATCGGGGATTTCAACATAAACTCCTTTGATTATTATGAAAATCAAAGATCGAGAAAATTTTTTAATGGTTTATTTGAAACTGGAACAATACCTTTAATTAATCGCCCGACTAGAATCACAAGTCATTCATAATCATTAATTGATAACATTTTAACAACCGATTTTTTTAATAAGTTGCTAAAAAAGGGAATTATAAAAACCGATGTTTCCGATCACTTCCCGATTTTTTTTTCTATATGTGTTAATTTAAAAAAAGAGAAGCAGGGAAAGTTATTAATAAAAAAACGGCTTATCAACAATAATAATTTAAATTCTTTCAGAGAACAATTATCACATATAGATTGGGGTTATATTAATTTTAATGATAATATCAACATAATCTACGACAATTTTTTCAAAACTTTTTACCAAGTGTATGATTCCAACTTTCCTTTAATTGAAATAGTTTTAAGCGATAAAGAAATGTCATCTCCCTGGATTACTAAAGGTATCAGAAAATCATCAAAAATTAAGCAGAAGCTGTACATTAAATACCTAAAATCAAAATCAGAAAAACATAAACAAAATTATAAAACTTATAAAAACTTATTTGAAAAGCTTCGCAAAAATGCAAAAAAAAACTACTATTTAAACTTGCTTAAGAAATATAAGCACAACTCAAAACGCGTCTGGCAAATTATGAAGGAGGTGTCTGGAAAACTTAAACCAAATAAAAATTTACTCCCAAATTTTATACAAATTGAAAACAAATTAATAAATGACCCAAATGATATTGCATTTGAATTTAACAAGTTTTTCTCCACTGTCGGGACAAAATTAAGCGATAGTATTTCATTCATTAAAGATAAATCTGTTGATGAGTTTGAAACATCAATAAGTCTAAACCTAAATTTTACTGAGTTAGCTTTTAAAGAATTTGAGGTTGCTTTTAAGTCATTAAAACGAAATAAAGCTACTGGGTATGATGATATTAACACAAATATTGTGATTGATTCAAACGATGTTATAAAAGATATTCTTTATAAAATCTTCAGAGCATCTATTTCACAAGGGTCTTTTCCAGATAAACTAAAAATAGCGAAAGTAACTCCAATCTTCAAGACAGGGGATCGTACAAATATAACAAATTATCGCCCTATTTCGGTTCTTCCAGTTTTTTCAAAAATTTTAGAAAGAATAATGTGCAACCGAATCTACTCTTATCTTGTTGAAAATAAAATTCTATACGAAAACCAACTTGGTTTCAAAAAAAATAATTCAACCGAGCATGCCATTCTTTAACTTACGCGCAATATAACCGACTCATTTAAAGACTCTTGTTTTACACTAGGAGTGTTGTCCAAGGCATTTGATACCGTCAATTATCAAATCCTGTTAAAAAAACTAACATCATATGGTATTAAAGATAAAACCCTATTATGGTTTGAAAGTTATCTTACTAACCGTAAACATTTTGTTTACAATAAAGATTCTATATCTCATCTATTAATGAATATAACATGTGGTGTTCCACAAGGATCCATACTTGGTCCTCTTATTTTTTTAATATACATAAATGATCTTCATAAATCATCAAATTTAACAACAATAAATTTTGCAGATGACACAAATTTGTTTTTGTCTCATAAAGATAATAATATGCTTTTTACAAATATGACAAATGAATTAAAAAAAGTTTCTGTTTGGTTTAAACAAAATAGATTGTCTCTAAATATAGAAAAAACTAAATGGACACTTTTTTATCCACCTTTAAAATACCAGAAACTGCCCCATATCATGCCAGACCTTCTAATTGATAATATAATAATAAAAAGAGAAAAAGTTACTAAATTTCTTGGAGTATATATTGATGAAAACCTATCTTGGAGAAATCATATTGATAATACCTCCAACAAAATTGCTAAATGCATCGGAATTCTCTATAAAGCAAGAAATATATTAAGTAAACACCAGTTAACACAATTATATTATTCATTTATACATTGTCATATAAACTACGCGAATATTATATGGGGAAGCACTCACAGAACAAAGCTAAAATCTCTTTACCTTCATCAGAAACACGCAACTCGCGTAATAAATTTTCAAAATTGGTTTTTTCACACGAAACAACTTTTTAAAGAAATGAATATTTTAAATGTATATCAACTAAATGTCTTTAATATTTTATGTTTCATGTTTAAATGTAGAGAAAATTTGTCGCCAAATGTATTACAAAATTTTTATTGTATGAAACCTAAAAACAAATATAATTTTCGAATTAATAACAGTCTTATTGCCCTTTTTTGTCGTAAAAGCAAAGGCCAGTTTTTTGTTTCTTACCGAGGTCCTTATCTCTGGAACAAAATAGTCTTACCAAATTTTGATTTTTCAACCCAAATGACTTTTGCTTCATTCAAACAGAAACTTAAAAAAATTGTATTTTTAATTGAAAATATCTTGATTTATTTTTAATTGCCTTTTTTTTTATTTTGTTTTTGTATATTATTTGGTTTAAAATTTGATCTTGACTTTTTAACATTTTATCTTGGTTTTTAAATATTTTTGCATAGAGGTGTATTATTATTTCACTACAGACATTGCATTTTTATTAAAAGTTAACCAAATATTGTAAAGGGCTTCATGACAAGAGTCTCATGATCTTCTAGAAGTCCTGTCGTTAATAATGTAAAAAATTGTAAAATATATTTAGTTATTGTAATATTAAACATTTTTTATTTAAATAAAAATTAACACTTTTTTGTATAACAGTTTAATGAACTTCTTCCGTAATGAACTGTTTCGCAAGTTTCTTTTCGTATAGAGTTATTACGGAATTATTGTTTTTTTTTTTTTCGTATAACGTGTTATGGAAGGTGAATTTGCGCAAGTACAACTTCCGCAATAGCAACTTGAAATACGGAAGATACAAATGCGAAAGTTTTTGTTTACGGCAAACAAACCTACTATACTATAGCTTCACTTATCTTTTAACTCACGTTTTTCAGCAACAAAAAAACTATAAATTATAATTTTTGCCCTCGTATTGTTATTTATACTTACTATTATGCGGATAAGAATAATTTGTTATTCTTATCCGCATAAATAGCTATTTATTCATTCAACATCAGGCTACCTCATTTATGATAATTTAAAAAAGAATCAACGGGTGACGAGCAAAAGCATCTAAACAAACACGTTTGTTACCCACGTGTCAAAAATAACCTGCGTTGCCTAAATAACTGAATGTTTTACGCTGTTTTAAGCACGTTTTTTTGTTTTGGTATATTTAAAGTATTATTATTTTGGTATATTTCAACATTATATTCCTCATTATAAGATAACTATGCTTCTTGCTGAGCTATCTTTTTTTTTTTTTTTTTTTAACTCTTTTTAATAGTTAGTTCTATTAGGTCGGTAGAAATTAATCTGTTAAACTGCTATTTCTTGATTGTCATATAAAATTCATTATTTTCCATAGAATTTTAATTTAGCTGGAGCACTTTTGCTCAGCTCGGAAAGTATTGCAATCTCAATATATTTTATATTGATGAATACCTAACAGTGGTCGGATTATAACCAGAAAATACGCATTTAATTTTCCCTTGCGTTTTTTTTTTTGGAAGTTTTATTTAATTTCATAACCTCAACGGTTTAAATTTTCAGTTGTAACCATTTTTTAAGAGCAGTATATATATTTAACATCTTTTGTGCCTGCTAATATAACCAGTCCATAGTCAATTAGTTCGCTTTATTTGTTTTTAAAGGCCTCTGTTAGGCCCCCAAAAATTCAAATTTTATAAAATAACATGCTTAATTAACTTTACAAATGAAGAGGAAAAATTCTATAGCCAATTAGCCTCAGCCACTTTAACTGTTATACAGCTGTTTAAATTTTGAACTAAATCAAACAATATTTAATTGATATATTACTTTACAACTTCAGAACAACTAAACAAAAAGAAAAACATTTATTGTAGTCTAAACTATCATAAAGTTTTTTTTTTTTTTTTTTTTAAAGTATCTCGCTTTAAAATCTTATTAAAAATTTTCAATATTAAAAACTGAACATTGTATTTAATTTTTAAAGGAAGCAAAAATATTCTCTATATTATAAATAGCGTTATAAATAAATATTAAAAAAGTAAGAAATAAATTTCAAATAGATAATTTTATACTGTAAGATCATTAATTGTCTTCACTCGTTTCAACAGTTTGAGAAACTGCATAATGTAAAAGATCATGCATATCATCAGCAACTTCAGATCCTGTAGATTCAATAGTTTCCTCATTGCCAGGGATATAACCATTTTCATAATATTCATGTTCAGTTTGATTTTCAACAACTGTAGGAATGGCATGAGCAGCAACACTTAAGAGCTGTTCATAAGTCTCTTGATTATAATTACTCACAACATATGATTCAACTTGACGTAGTAAATCTTGAGAAATCATATCTTGTCCAATCAAAGTATTTCCTTGAATTTGAGAATCGTGAACATTATTATGAGAGTACTCTTGATTTACATCAGAATATTCCTGATTGGCATCAGAACCTTCGACATATATTTCATTTTCTTCGTTCGATTCTACATAAATATTTTCGTCCTGAAGGCCGGAAGCTTCTAAATATACATGTGCTTTATCTGAAATATCTCTTATATCTTCTTCGTGAACATATAAAACACTGCCATTATCATCTTGAACCATGGCAACACTTTCACTTTGTTCACTAATAAAATTATGCTCTTGTTCATTTTCAATGTATTCGTGTTCTGATTGGTTATCTGTTTGCTCCTTTTTCTCTATTGATTGTGAACAAGTGGAAATATGAGGGATAACATAGTTTCCTAGAGTTCCAGACTTGTCTTGATCAGACATTATATTAATTATATGACCGTAAGTTGTAATAATTGGCATATCATTATCAGAATTCGTAACTATCACTTTTTGAGAGTCTACTGAATTACTAATATTGTGATCAATCAGTGTTTGAAGCACCCTTTCTGCTTCATTCTTCTCAAAAATAGTTTTTTCTGAGATTCCCTTTTCACTATTATTTGTATTATTTTTAACTAGAGTACGAATGTAGAAGCCTTTATTTTGACTCACATTGTCTGCTATTGTCTGGCTAATAAAACGCAGTTTTCTTTGAACTTCAGCATTATCTTTGTCACCTCTAATATTCCCAAGTGAAATAGAAACATTAGTACCTCTAATTTTAAAAGTATTATTGTCACTATCTGAACTATTTTCAGAATTACGAGGATAATCTGCATAAATTTCTACAACATGATCTTCTCCAGCGTGTGATTTCTGATGGCTAATAAGATTTGAACGTTGTGTAAATGCTTTGTTGCAAGTTCCGCATAAAAAGGGTTTTTCTCCAGTGTGTACCCTCATATGATTTGTGAGATTAATGTTCTGAGCAAACAATTTGTCACAGTATGTACATTTAAAAGGACGCTCACCAGTATGAATTCGAGTATGTCGCTTCAGATTGCTACTCTGTCGAAAGTGGAGATTACATACATCACACTTAAATGGTTTTTCTCCTGTATGAATACGGATATGGCGTATAAGTGTTGTTTTATCACAAAATGACTTTTGGCACACAGAACAATGAAATAATCGTTCTCCACGATGAATTTGTAAGTGAATATTTAGAGTACTACGATGACAAAAAGATTTATCGCAAAGGTCACACTGGAATGGCTTAACACCTGTATGCTGGGTCATATGACTTTGTAGAACACTTTTTTCAAAAAATGCTTTATCGCACACTTCACATTGAAAAGGTCTAACATTAGTATGATGTCGCATGTGAATTGTCAAATGTGTATTTCTCCGAAATGCTTTGTTACATTCTGTACATTTAAATGGACGCTCACCAGTGTGTACCATAACATGTTTTTTTAAAGTATCCATATGAATGAAAGCTTGATCACATTCTGGACATTTATGCGGCTTTACACCAGCATGAATTTTAACATGTGAAGCAAGATTTGATTTAGCACAAAAAGTTTTCTCACATATGTCACATTTGAAAGGACGTTCACCAGTGTGCAACTTTACATGACTTCTTAAATTAGATTTATGAGCAAATGCTTTGTCACATTGATCACATTGGAATGGTTTTTCACCAGTATGAGAACGCATATGATTGTGTAACACATTTCTTCGTACAAAACCTTTATGACATATCTCACATTGAAATGGTTTTATTCCATCATGAGATGTAATTATATGGTCTCTTAGATAATCACGACGTTTAAACTCTTGATCACAATCATGACATTGAAATAATTTTTCTTTTTGCATTTTGTTTGTATTTGGTTCATCAGAATCCAAAACTACTTTATTCGAGTCATTACCTGCAATGCTAATAATTTCAGCTGAAGAAATAAGAGAATTACTGCATGCTAAGTTAATATTTTCTTCTTTAAAAGTTTCAGCTAAAATATGATTTTCACTTTTTAAATTATTAAAAGGAACATGCTGAGAGCAAGGCTCTGTTTCATTTCCACTATTTGAGTTAAGGTTATTTTCGACAACACAGTTTTTTGGTTCAGGTTCATTTTCTAATGTACCTAATAAGGGATTAGAATTATTTGGTAATAAAAGACAAACATTTTGGTTTTTTTTTGTAGCTGGTGAAAGTAAAGAAGTATGTGGCTTATACTCTTCCGCAGCTTTAAGTCTGTTTTTCTCTTGAACGTGTACTTTCATATGAATTTTAAAGTGAAGTTTTCGAATGAAAGACTCTCCACATTGCTGACAAGAAAATTGTGTTTTGTTGTTGTGGATTTTTTTTCTTGGTGTTTCAATTTTTGGTACTTTTGTTGCAGACTTTTTAATTTTGATAGAGGTTTCAACAGGTGTATTTCTATTTAAATTATTTTCTTTCTCTTTTTTTGTATCTGTAATTAAATCAGCATAAATTTCTTTTCGAAGTCTTTTAGGATATGTTTTAGTAGGAATAATTGATCGCACTTTCTTATGATCATATACTTCATCCATCAAGTTAATATTTTTATTTATAACTGAGTTTTTTATAGAATTTTTTTTATGTAAACTTTTATCATTTTGACTTATTTTGTTTAATGTTGATTCAAAAATAGTAGAATCTATTGAAGCATTATCTTTGAAACACAATTCATTTGTCTTGATGTTCTGAAAATGTATAGCATCTTTGTTTATTGAATTGCTAAAGCCACTGATTGTGCCCAAATCTTCACAAGCATCATTCATTTTTAGTTTTACTAATAATAATAAAAAAAAAAACATGAACAATTTAAGTTTAAATTTATAGATTATAATTTTCCTGGTTGTATTAAAATAAAAGGTAAAATTATTAAACAATCTTTATCTCAAAAAAAAGTTTTTATTACTATTAAAAAAACTATATATATATATATATATATATATATATATATATATATATATATATATATATATATATATATATATATATATATATATATATATATATATATTATATATATATATATATATTTATATATATAGTAAAAACTGTGATTGAGACATATGAGGAACTTTTTTTGAAAACATTTCCAATATATACACACATAAACACTTACAGAGGGCGCATCTCTGATTTTTTTTAGTATTTAGATTTTAGAACTTCCAGATAAGTTCAAAACTCCAAAATCTTTTTATACGTTTATCATAAAATAATTGCACAAAAATGCACTAAATAAAATCTAAAATTTAATAATATATTTAAAAAAACATTCAAATTTATTAATTAATATTGCAAATTTTTAAATTTTTAAAAGTTACAATTATGTAAAGTTTACTTTACACAATAAGGTTGCAAACAGATATATATAAAGATCAACATATTAAAAACTACTTTTAAGCCATATATATGTATTTTTTTCAATTTCAATTCACCTTCTTAAGACCATAAAGGCCAATGAAAAGAGGGTATGAAAGGGTATGAAATGATGGTATGAAAGGGTATGAAATGAGGTATGAAAGGGTATGAAATGAGGGTATGAAAAAAAAAAAAAAAAAAACAATGAAAGAGGGTACTTTTAGTTGGTTTTAGAGGTTACAAACCTCTCTCAACTCTATAACTCAGAAACACGAACCTTGATAAACAAGGCTGCTGTGCAGAGAAACAAGTAGGAGTACTATCACACAGTAGGCCAAACAATGGACATTACTCAAAAATCAATGTTACTAAAATAAATTTAAGTTAGTTGTTCAGGCTTTCACAGGAAGACGTGCGATTTCATGTCTTTATATGACCACACACAAAAAAAATGTTTTAACGATTCGAACATGGCATATTGTTAAAATTTAAAAACGCGCTACAAAAACTTACTAAACTTATCTGAAAAAAAATTTAAAAAAATAATAAATATTAACGAAAGAGAAAATAAAAAAAAAAATTTAGTTAAAGCAAAAACACAAAAAAATAAATATATATAAAGCAACTAAAACAAAACTCATCAAACTAAAGTGCTTAGTCTATTTAATTTACGCATTAAAAAACCTTTTTAATCTTTGTTTCAACATTTTTATATATTTTTTATTTGTTCTATGTTCAAAAGTTAAATATTTCTCATAAAAAATACATAGTTATGTAAATAAAAAAAAAAAAAAAATTATAAAAACTTTTTTTTTAAATTAATTAGAAGTGTTTTTTATTTTACTTCATTAAAAGCGTTTCGATAATATAAAAGCATTTAAGATCAAACTTATTAAATTGTAACAGTTTTTTAAAACTTTTTTTTTAAAGAAATTTTGTTTATTTTTTAAATGCATTAACTTTAATCATTCTTATATTTAAATTCATTAAAGAGACTTTTGTAGTCGTAGAATGTCATCGTTTATAAAAACAAAACAATTTTTTTATTTTTTAATAAGATTTATTTTAGAAATGAACACTTAAACAATCTATGTTTTAAGTTAAAAAATATATACAACTGTCAATTATATTTAAAAAACAAAACTTTTTTTCAGTAAATTGTTACTTTATTTAAAATCGTTTCGCTAATATAAAAACATTTTTTAAGAAGTTTTGATGTAATTAATTTTACTTTTAGAATATTTTTTATTTAGCGCGTTTCTAAAATGTTTTTAGAATTAGCCACGGTCAAACCGTCATAGCAAAACGTAACTTGTGTGGTCATATAAAGACGTGAAATCGCACGTCTTCCTGTAAAAGTCTGTTGTTATTGAAAGCAAAATAAATTTCCAGTTCATTAAAAAAAAAATTAATTCAAAAACATGATTCGTTTTGGAAATATACAAGTTAGAAAAATGCAAATTTGTTGCAAAAGATATGTAATAGGTATAAATGATACATATAAGTCATTTTTGGCATTGTATAAGAGAAAATGTCACTATATAAGCAGTGCAAATGTGGTAAGTGTATGTAGAAACAGATAATGTGGTAAGTGTATGTAAAACATCTTAGACTGCAGTTTATGGAAATGTGAATTGTTAACTTCATAAATTATAGCACAATTTTTTTTTACATGTTATGCCTAATGAAACAACTAAAATTTAGCAAAATTTTAGTGTTTTTATCAGAAAAAATAATTTTTCAAAAAGTGTCAAGTTGGTACTAGTAAAGCCAAATATTTTTAACTCCTATAACAAAGAAGAGTAAGATGCTTTTTAGCTAAATTGTGCCAACTTAGCACTTTTAAACAAAAATGTAAAAGAATGACCCTACCCCTTTAGCTTAAATTTTTGTAAAATATATTAAAAAGTATTAATGCAAATAGTTTTACATTAATTTTTACATATTTTTATAAAAGAAACATGTGTTTAGCAAAAATTAGTCTAAATTAAAAATTAGTCTAAAAAAAAAAGTCTAGAAAGTAATGACTAAGATCAATTTTTGACCAACACCTCTACTCTCCCCCTAGCCCTCTTTTCTATTGATTTTTTTTTTTAAATTTAATCCAAATTTAATCTAGTTAGTACAACCATTAATAATAAAAAAATATTGCAGCATTGAAATCTGTTTTAAAATGAACGAATTGCAAAAGTTAAAATCAAAACTTTGTGTTGAACATAGTAATAATATAATAGTTTTACTTATCTCATAAACCTGTTTATATTTTGAATTGCATTTTAAGTTCAAATCATTTTGTTTGAAAAAGTTATTAGACAATGAATCAACAAAAATACTTTTATATAGTTTTAAAGAAAAAAACTTTTAAACTTTTTAAATTTTTTTAAAGATAGAAGCAAGAAAAATAAAGCAATTAAATCATTACAATAGAATAACTTTAATTAAACCATTTGCAAAAAGAAGATTTTAATTAAACCATTTGCAAAGAGAAGATTTTAATTAAACCATTTGCAAAGAGAAGATTTTAATTAAACCATTTAGCAAAGAGAAGATTTTAATTAAACCATTTGCAAAGAGAAGATTTTAATTAAACCATTTGCAAAGAGAAGATTTTAATTAAACCATTTAGCAAAGAGAAGATTTTAATTAAACCATTTGCAAAGAGAAGATTTTAATTAAACCATTTGCAAAGAGAAGATTTTAATTAAACCATTTAGCAAAGAGAAGATTTTAATTAAACCATTTGCAAAGAGAAGATTTTAATTAAACCATTTAGCAAAGAGAAGATTTTAATTAAACCATTTGCAAAGAGAAGATTTTAATTAAACCATTTGCAAAGAGAAGATTTTAATTAAACCATTTGCAAAGAGAAGATTTTAATTAAACCATTTGCAAAGAGAAGATTTTAATTAAACCATTTGCGAAGAGAAGATTTTAATTAAACCATTTGCAAAGAGAAGATTTTAATTAAACCATTTAGCAAAGAGAAGATTTTAATTAAACCATTTGCAAAGAGAAGATTTTAATTAAACCATTTAGCAAAGAGAAGATTTTAATTAAACCATTTGCAAAGAGAAGATTTTAATTAAACCATTTGCAAAGAGAAGATTTTAATTAAACCATTTAGCAAAGAGAAGATTTTAATTAAACCATTTGCAAAGAGAAGATTTTAATTAAACCATTTGCAAAGAGAAGATTTTAATTAAACCATTTAGCAAAGAGAAGATTTTAATTAAACCATTTGCAAAGAGAAGATTTTAATTAAACCATTTGCAAAGAGAAGATTTTAATTAAACTATTTGCAAAGAGAAGATTTTAATTAAACCATTTGCAAAGAGAAGATTTTAATTAAACCATTTGCAAAAAGAAGATTTTAATTAAACCATTTGCGAAGAGAAGATTTTAATTAAACCATTTGCAAAGAGAAGATTTTAATTAAACCATTTGCAAAGAGAAGATTTTAATTAAACCATTTAGCAAAGAGAAGATTTTAATTAAACCATTTGCAAAGAGAAGATTTTAATTAAACCATTTGCAAAGAGAAGATTTTAATTAAACCATTTGCAAAAAGAAGATTTTAATTAAACCATTTGCAAAGAGAAGATTTTAATTAAACCATTTAGCAAAGAGAAGATTTTAATTAAACCATTTAGCAAAGAGAAGATTTTAATTAAACCATTTGCAAAGAGAAGATTTTAATTAAACCATTTGCAAAGAGAAGATTTTAATTAAACTTATTCATAATTTTAAGTATTATAAAAAAAGTTATCTTACAAAAGATTTTTAGAAAGACATGGAAAATCAGTTTCAAATGTTTAAATTTATCATAAAAAATTTATGCCTACTAAAAAAATTTACACATTTAATTTACACAAAATACGTTTATTTTTAACGATCATTATAATTAATTTTTTTATTTCAAGTCTTTGTGTAAAATAAAAACGTTTAAAAAGATCAACAGTTAATATTCATAACAACAGTTATTCATAACGTAACTATTTTTTTATTGCATTTAAATTTCAAAACAGCAGTGGTCAAAATATAAAGAAAAAAAAATATTAGCGTTGAAATAAAAAAAAGATTGCTGTTTATATATCTAAATTACTAATAAATTAATAAAGAATTCTAAAAAAAGTGCTTATTTTAGAAGCATTTTCTTTTTAAACGTAAAATAAAAACAGTTTCTCAAAAGTTGTATTTATTTTTTTTGAAAGTTTTATTTTCATAGTAAAAAAAAAACTTGAAAAAAAAATTATTTTTTTAAATTGAGTTTTTTTTTTATCTTTCAAAATAATGGTTTGGCTCTGATTTGGGTCTTATTATTTTTTTACCAATACTGATTCCATGAAAAAGTTAGCACAATTTTAAGTTTTATGGTTTTATATTTTCAAAATTTTAATAATTAGGTATTTCATTGGTATCAGA